CACATTTTCTAAGCTAAGTTTCTAGATTCCTGTTGCTGGGCTTTTCTCTTGAGAAGCACATAGGTGTAGAAATTAATTGGTTTACTCTGACTTTAGCCTCACTAAAATTTTGAATTTTCTTGCATATTTACACTTGCATTTATTAAAGCAAATACATGCTTGTGTCTTAGAGAATATAACCCATTTATAGTCTTTCTGGAAAATATGAAATTTTAAATCTTTCCAACAGGAAATAAATTCCCCTTCACTCACAACACACACACATTATGATTTAAGAACCAAAATTATACAACTTCCTCTACAGGGGCAAAGTTTGTCTCTTTTTAAGACATAGAAAACAAACATACAATCCTTTATACACCTAAGAAACAAATCAAGGGAATTTTTTTTATATTTACTTATTTGAAATACCTGAAAATATTTTGATTCTAAAGCTTTGAAAAATCTTGTAAATTTAAGTTACTGTACAAAAACAACAGTATGATTGAATGCACAACATTACTTAATTTATAAGTTCGTTTTGAAAAGAATCTTTTAATACCATCTCTGAACAAACCACCACATACACACAGAATTGTAGCCTTCTAATATTTTGTTGCATTTTGTACCCTTAGGGAAGCATAAATGTGCCTCTGTTGCTTACTTCTGTCTGGCTCTTCATTTAAGGATATTACTATCTGATAATAGCAACAAACAGGATAACTTTGTGTTATTTGTGATTAGTAAGTGATTACTAGACACTTTAGATGGGACTGAAACAGTCTTCCCACATTTCTTGCATACAAGAAAAATTCTGTATTCATAATTTTCTACACCTAGCAATAGTTGGCCCAAATGTTAATTGGAAAATTTATATCTTTCTCTAGGATCAAATCCACATTGATTTTAATGAAGCTTTGATACATAAAGTAGTTTTGAACTTTATGTAACTTATGATGCTTTTAAAGGTGAAATGGTAATAATACAATGGGATATTCAGAAACTTTTTCCAAGAGTCCAAATTACACAAAAGTTACAAATAGTGAATTATTCTACATTAAGTTATACCAACACCATTGGCTGCAAAATGTTTATAGAATAGAGGTTGCTGCATTTTGAGTCCAAGATCCATGACTGTTTAAAATGAGCAAAGACAAAGAGAATTCCTTACTCCAAAACAAAGTTCTTTGGCATGGCAAAGGAAATGAAAGGAACTTGCTTTGGAACTGTAAAAATTGCATTATTCCTGACTGAGTCAAAGCAAGTAACTTTTTGAATTAATTAGTTAAGCACATGTTACTTTTCATATGTGATGATTTGAAGTGTGGCATCAAGAGTTTCATGGAGAGATTTGTGAAAAAATATATCATGGAAGAGGCATAAAATATTTATAAAGTTACATTACAGATATGCAGATTTATGAAATGATTGCAATAATTATGCTTCTTTCATGTAGATAAGTAACAGTAAAGCAGAATGTTTTGACATTGGGGTCCCTGGGGGGGTTCATATTAAATTGCTACCCACTGTGTCACTCCCCAAGTGGCCCTAATGATATATGCGAGGTTTGGTTGACAATCTCTCCTGTGTCAGTAGCTATATGTAGATAACTTTCTAAAACAACTTTAAAATAAAAAATAGTAACCTTGTGCTACTAATCTTTTTTTCAATATCATGTCTTATAACAGTGCATATTAGGACAAGTTTTATTAATAAACATCTTTCATCACCATGTATGATAGAAATTACCAGGACAAAACTAAAATGGAATAAGATTTCATTCTCCAGGACATTTAATCTCTTCATGTGTCATAAATGACCTTGAAAACTCCTGGAAACTGGATTGAATTGCATTTCAAAGGAACTGTATGAATCCTGAAATTTAACAATTTGCTGTTAACAAAAAAGAGGCATAAAAGTATCGTGCAGAATTCTTAAACCTTGTAAAGTGACTTTATCTCATATTACTATAATGTATAAATACTAGTCTGACAGCTCCTGTAATATGTGTGAAATTACTGAATTTCCAATTTTACACTTTTGTGCACAAGAATATAAAGTTGGAAATTCAGTAATTTCACATATATTACAGGAGCTGTAAGACTAGTACTTTTATTTTCAAAGCCATTACTTATTACAACTTAGGAAACTTATTCTCTGTTTCCTGTGGATCATAAAACTAAATAGTAGACTTAAGATACATGCATTTTAGGTAAAGAGGAACAATTCCTGCATTGTGTGAGTTTGTTTTTTGTAAGTTATAAATAAAAAACAATTGTCCTGTTACTTTCAGTTCTTATATTTGAGTTAGTTTTAATAATATGCAGGGACCAACCAACTTAGTCCAGTGCCAGCTAGCCCTATTAACTGTACCAGGAATGAAATTACTAATTTTTATGTCCTACTTTTATTCATATGTACTAGAATATTCCTTACTTTGAGCATCAATGACATTTGACCAATGCATATTTTGTTTTCTATTCTGATATTATGATATGAGGATTGAAAAACATGTTTCACTCAATGTGATTACTAGCTTATTGATACATAGTTTCAGATCAGTAAGTAACGGTGTTTCTAGTCATAGATTTGTTGATCTTAAACTTTTTTTTAGTTGAAACCACTAGCAAACAATCAGCTGTGCTTATAACCATTTTGATATTTTGGATAAAAATATACATACTAGTAAACATTTACATACTAGACTAGTAAAACACATATATGTATCTATGTATGATGGATATATGTATACAGGTAATAAAAAAGAATTGAAAAAAATAAGGATGATGTAGGTATGGAAATGCCAAAAAAGTACAGAAACAAGATAGAGATGAATACATAAAACCATACAAAAATTCCTACATAGTTAGCCAAATCTTTCCAAGAAAAACTTTTATCTACAACTAAATGTTGAATTCCTTTCATTTGCATGACTTCGGGTTTGAAAAAAATGCATTTAAACTGAATAATACTGCTATAAATTCTTATAATGGCTAGTTCACGTAAGATTGTAACATTGACTCGGTGGCTACTTATGTAGGGATGGTATTTTTTTATGGTTTTATGTATTCATACCTATCTTGTTTTTATATTTTTTGGCATTGCCATCCTTTATCATCCTTATTTTTTTTTCAAATTTTTGTATTGTTTCCCCTCTTTTATTTGAATAATACCAAGGAATATTTTATAATAAATGGCAGTCACTCTGAAGGCAGCAGTTTTAGCTTGGCATGATGAGTTGTCTTGATGTACATCATGTATTGAAGTTAGTGAAATTCTATACTGCTTCTGCACTTTCCAAGTTAAAATCCAGCATTTTAGTGTGTAAACTATTGCAACAACTTTAACCATTGGTGAGCTAGCCCTTCTGATGCGAGCTTTTGAAAACCTCAAAAACTGAAGTTGGGTGTTTATGAGAGACTCATAGATTGTTATAAGTGAGATTTCAGACTATGATGAGCAATACATAACATGTGTTAGCCATTTTTTACCCAGCCCATCCTTACTATATACTAAGCACTTCCGTGCTTAGTGATAAAATGAAAGTCAAAACTACAAAAAGTTAGTTACTTAAAATCAAAAAAATATATCCCTACTTTGGCAAATCATTGTAATTATGTTAGTGTGAGCTAAAGTATGGATGAAAGGTTTTAAATTTCAAATAACTTAGTTTTTGTAGTTTTGACTTTCTTGTTTCAATATTTTTTTGTGGCTTTAAAACTTTGTATATTATCATAACTAACTAGGTTACATATATATATCAATCCCTAGTTGTCTTTATAAAATTTAGAAAAAATTTATTATACATGTTTGTTTCTTTTTTTATTAACTATATTTTTGTACACCAGCAATACCAAGTATGGGGTGTGCATATACCCGATTTAATTTTATTATTCATCAGGATCTCTACCAACCTACCCCCAAATCTAGTTATGTGCCCAAAGTAGTGCATTATCTGTTTTAATCTATATATTTATATATATATATATATATTCAAGTAAATGAAATACTATACTGCTTCTGCACTTCCCAAGTTAAAATGTAGCATTTTGGTGCATAAATCATTGCTACAACTTCACACATTGACAAGTTAGCCCTTCTGATGCCAGAATCAGAATAATCATCTGTTATGCTACTCACTGATTCTCTACCTTAGTGATGTTTTTTTGGTTAAACATCACTAAGTTCTTAGTAGCTTTTAAAAACCTTGGAAACCTAAGTTAGGTGTTTATAAATGTCTCTTAGATTGTTGTAAGAGAGATTTGAGATATCGATGAGCAATACACATGCATCGGCCATTTTCTTCCCAGCCCATCTCTACATAGTTTTTCATAGTAAAAGTTTTTAAAGATTAATTGCTTTTATTTACTTTTTACTGTTATACTGTTTGTTACTGAGATATGAATATTCTGCAAAAATTAATACAAAATGAGTGATTAACAATTTCACGATGACATTGCTGTGTTTGAACTTAGCAAAACATTCAACATTTTATGTTGTTGTTGTTTCTTGTAAGACTAAGCCATGATTATAAACTACAGTTTCATTTTGATATTGTCTTATGAGTCCATAGGAAACAGTATTATTTCCTGTTCTTAGAAATCAATTGTTATTAACATTTAGAAATATTAAAATCCCTCAGAGAAAATATAAAATGGGTCATTGAGAAACCAAACATTTGTTTTTTAGATGTACATAACATAAGTAAAAATATAATTATTTTTATTTTGTGAATAGTTGTAGCAAAAAGAGTTAACTTAAAAACAATTATTATATAGTTAGATTTGTCATGTTCTTGAGGATAAAAAATGACAACAAACCATTGAGAAATATTTCGTGTGAATGCTAGTGTTTTATTTTCAAACAATAGATATGAAAAGGCAATCATAAGAAAATTACTTTCTTTTCCAGTTTGTGAAAGAGATAATAATTGAAGTTTGTCCTAGGTTACTGATTAATAAAGTTATTATTTAAGTTTATAAAAAAATTACTTGTAAAGATGTATTTTCTGTACTCTCCAGGGAATATGGTCCAAATGGAAACTTGCTTTCAGAAATAGGCTTTCTTTGTGACTGTGATTATACACCAGCATTGGCACCAGGTTCATTAGAGCTTGGAGAAAACCATGGAACTTCTTTAGGAACAAGCATGTAAGTAATATCTTAATTTTCAAAGTTATATAACAAGAGTTGAACTTTTTATTTAAATTTATTGAATTTTCATACTTTACTCATAATCAAATAACAAAGAAATTTGTATTCATTCTCATATATACACCTGGAAAAAAGTTAAGCATCCCCGTGTTTTTTTCAAGTGATTCAGATTCGACGTTCTTGTGACTGGTTATAAATTACCATTCAATCTAAACGTGTTTATCAAATGAAATTATGCATTATTGGGCACAAGAAAACAAGATTATCACCGTAAAATAACAATTTTTAATTTACATATCAT